TTCCTCCTTTTCATCGAAATTCCCTGAATTTTACGAAAATGCCCTTGACTGAACGAAAATGCCCTTGTCTTGAAGAAAACCGGGCGAGTTATTCTGAACCGACGTCATGACTCGAAGAAAAACTCGAAGAAAACTGGGCGAGTTATTGTGCGAACCGGGCTCAAAGAACCGGTCATGCCTCGAAGAACCGGGCGAGTTATTATGCGAACCGCGGGCGATTTACTGTGCAGAATCACCAGTTCCTCCTTTTGCCTCTAAATTCCCTGAATTTTATGTAAATGCCCTTGACTCGAAGAAAACCAGGCCAGTTATTGTGCTAACCCAGGCTCGAAGAGCCGGGCGAGTTATTGTGAACCGATGTCATGACTTGAAGAACCGGGCGAGGGGGGTCCTGAACCGACGTCATGAGTCGAAGAAAACCGGGCGAGTTATTGTGTGAATCAGGCTCGAAGAACCGGGCGAGTTATTGTGCGAACCGACGTCATGACTTGAAGAACAGGGCGAGTTATTGTGAGAACCGTGGGCGATTTATTGTGCAGAATCGCCGATTACTCCTTTTGCCTCCAAATTCCCTGAATTTTACGAAAATGCCTTTGACTGAACGAAAATGCACTTGACTGCGGGTCTTGACGTCGTCATGACACGAAGAACCGACGTCACGACTCGAAGAACCGGATGATTTACTATACAGAATCATCGATTTCTTTCTAAAACCGGACAATTTCTGGCTTTACAAAAGAACCGACACGAAACGATCGATTTTCAGTTCAAATTAATCGATTCCCTGCCGACTTGATGAATTTTAAAACACTGCATTACACCGTCACCAACAGCAAGGACGTAATCGTGTGCCGAAATTCAACGGTACGACTTCCATAGGACATTATAGTCATTCAAATTCACAAGCCAACGTCCCTCATAGGAACACCGACCAACAACATAAAACGGTCGAGTCTTCTACTTCATCCACTGTGCTTTACACCGTCACCAGCAGCGGTGACGAAATCGAGTGCCGAAATTCAACGGTAGGACCTCCAGAGTACATTTTAGTCATTCAAATTCAGAAACCAACCTCCCTCGGAAGAACACCGACCGACAAAATAAAACGGTCGAGTCTCCTACTTCACCCACTGTCTGGGTTCCTTAGAGAGAGAGAACCATGGATGTGTTCTTGAACTTCTGTTACAAGGACACGGGAAAGAGCTTCACAGCCCATCTCCACAACGCCCTCAAACAAGCAGGTCTCTCCACTTCCTTCACAAAACAAAAACAAAAACAACAACAACAACAATATGGTGATGATAATAAGAAAATAGGGGAGATCATATTACCCAGTGATACGCAGATAGCTATTGAAAATTCTATATTTTCTAGCAATTACGCTTCCTGTGTCTCCTGCCTTGAGGCTGAGGTTGGTGGGGAGGACAATTCTTCCTGTGTTTTACCATGTCCAGCCCTTTCATGTCGGAAGGCAAGCAGGGTCCTTTAAGGCGGCTTTCGAGGATCGTGAAATTAGGTATGATGGGGAGAGAGTGGAGAGGTGGAGAAATTCTCTCGAAGAAGTTGGGAAAATTTCTGGTTGGGATCTTGGAGATGGGTATGGCCTCACTTGCATTTTATACTCTCTCTCTATAGCCCATAATGTAAAAATTTCATGAAATTAGTTCAGTTGTATTTTCTTTCTTTTTCAGTTTCTTAGGATTTAGCATGATTAACTTAAGTACATGAAATGCAGAAATCCTTATGACCTATTTAGGATGCCCTCTATATAAAACTAGGATATACAGCAATATCAAATTCCTTTTCATCCCTTGATCCTACTTTATTTTTTGCTTGCAAGTTCTATTCTAATTGCCATTATTAACTAATACATGAAAAGTGGGACGAGTCCCCTTCTGCGCAAGTCTGCATTATATAAATCTTTGAGGCCTATTTGGGAAGGCCCTTTTTATCTGGATTTTACTGCAATATAGCAGTGCACCTGACGGTAAACAGAAAAACAACATAATTACGCATTTGAATAGCCCGTTGATGTACTCAGGGTTTGTTTTTCTTGATGGAGCTTAATTCTACAAGAGCGAAATCTTTTTTTTTCTTATGCAGGGATTTATCTGGTTAAAATTTGTTAAAAGATTAGTTGGCGTAGTTTGGGAAGAGATTAATAGTGTTTATTGGCTTGGGTTCAGTTATCCATATTTCCTCTGGTATATATTTCTACTCGATTCTATGAGGGGTTTTGGTGAAGTTTTTTTGTAGTTTATTGTATGGAGAATTGGTGAGGGATCTTTAGAAGCATCTGAACTTAGTTTTGGAGTTTGTGAAAAGTCTTCTTTGTTGCTTGAAAATACAATTTGAATCTAATTAACAAACCCCATTGTGGTAGTTCTTGTTTTTTCGTCTTCTCTCTTCCTGGTTTGCATCATCTGGTATTGGAATGCTTTGATCGCCGAGAAATCAATGGAGTGTCGATGATGATACAGATGATTTGTACGAACTCTAGATGCAAAATGGGCTGGCCAGGAACAGAAGGTAGCTTGTTTTATTAATGGGGTAAAATTTAAGATCCAATATGAGATTTTTTGACATTAGCTTTGAAAAGTATATGAGGCGTATCAACTTGCTCTCAAGGTTGAAAGAGAAGTTGCAACAGAGCAGTAGTATAAAAGGTGCTGATGTTCATCAATCAGCTGCAGCTATGGGGATTGTGGTGGTGCCCAAATTTGTAGTGGATGTTGAGGACCTCCCTTTTGTGCTAATCCTTATCCACGCCGAGATGTAGATGACCCAAGTTCAGATTGTATGGGGCACTACACAACTGTTGTTCAAGTCATCAACTATTACCATTAAGTAGTACTTTCAACTATTTCAAGTGTTGGGAGCAGCACCATCATTCACATTGAGTGTCCCCATATAAGATTTGATAGAGTAACAGCCTATGGGGGCTGTAGAAGACGAGGAATATGAGAATGAATATGAAAGTGAGTCTATTTATGATAAGGAATCAGAAGGGGTCGCTTAAGGTTATGTCGAAGCCAATGCATGGGTCATGACCTCACTCTGTGCTCCTATGGAAGTAAGGTGTAAACCAAGATTGACCTGACACACTTGTGATGGCAATCTGTGCAATGTAATCGTGGATGGAAGAAGTTGCAAGAACATAGTCTCGCAAGAGCTTGTGAACAAATTGCTTCTTAAGACCGAAACCGAACAAAAGACGTACAAGATTTCTGGTTCAAGAAGGCCAGCGGGGCAAGTGTCCCCAAGCGATGTCTCGTTTCCTTTTCTATAGGGAAAACTTATTATGGTGTGATGTTGCCCTAGTGGATGTGTGCCATTTATTATAGGAACCACTAAGGTAATTTAACAGGGTATCAGTCCATGACAGTACAAAAAATAAGTACATTTTCTGGACTAATAGTGTTAAGGTAGTTTTGCTGCCATATAAAGGGGGGATTCTTCCTGAGCTTGTTAAGGAGGGAAAGAATCTACTCTCCATGACTGATTTCTCACATGAAACCCAAGATAGTGCTGTTTGTTTCATGCTAGTGGCCAAACAAGTGGATGTGTCAAACCCCATTTATTTAGAATTGGAACCATTGATGAAAGATTTAAAGTTTTTATCCCTGAAGTACTTCCCTATTGTTTGCCACCATTCCTTAATTTCCAACGCCAGTTTCAGTTGATTTTAATCTTGTTGCAAGTCTCCTCAATCACGCTGCACATAGAATGAGCCCAAAGGAACAATGAGGAGCTGCAAGGCAAGTCAATGAGGTGGTGAAAATGGGGTACATTGGGTAGAGTCTGAGTCCTTGTGCTGTCCCAGACTCACACCAAAGAAGGATGGATTAGGGAGGATGTCTGCGGAGATTCGAGCAATAAACATGATAAGAGTTAAGTATCCCTTCCCTATTCTGAGACTTGATGATATGCTTTATATGTAGGCTGGTGTATCTTCATGCAGCTTTTCAAAGATAAATTTATGTAATAGCTGTCATCAAATAAAGGAAAGGCCTGGGGAAGAGTGGAATACATGATTTAGGACTCAGAAAGGCTTATATGAGTGGCTGGCCTTATCATTTGGACTGTTTGACACCCTAGCACTTTCATGCAAATGATTAATGAGATCTTCCTAACGTTCATTGGAAAATTTATGCTTGTGTATTTTGATGACTTATTCATCGATAGCACTTGTATAGAGGTTCCCATCAGTCACATCCATCTAATGTCAAAGTTTTACGAAGGAAAAAATCTCTATGTGAACCTAAAGAAGTGTACATTCATTATAGACAATTTGCTGTTTTTGGGGCCACATCATCTCAGTTGAAGGGATAAAGATGGATCTAACCAAAGTGGAAGCTATTATTGACGGGCCGACAGCTCAAACTAATGGGAATGTGCAAACTTTTAATGGTTTGGCAACATTATATCGCTGATTTATATGAAATTTCAGCAGTATCTTGTGCTAGTCACCAATTTTTTGAAGAAACGGGTATTCCAATGCACCAAGGGAGCATAAAAGAGCTCCAAATTGATTAAGGAAAGATAACTACAGCTTTTGTGTTGTAGTAATAATAGGAGGAGAGACGAGGAAGTAGTTAAGATTGACGACCAGGAGGTAGAAAAAAGGCCGTACTTTCGATAACTTGTGTCGATAATCCAAAAAAATAGAGAGATCGAGGAAGATGTCGCACCCAAAATTAGAGTTGGGTGGGTGAAGTGGAGATGTGCAACTGGAATTTTATGTGATCGTCGCATACCAATAAGGCTAAAGGGCAAGTTCTATAAGATAGCGGTGAGACTAGCTTTGCTCTATGGGGTGGAATGTTAGGCAGATAAAAAATAATATACCCATAGAATGAGTGTAGCGAAGATGAGGATGTTGAGATGGATGAGTGGGAAGACAAGAAGGGATAGAATTCGCAATGAATCTATTCGAAAGAATTTAGGCGTGGCACCAATAGGCGATAAAATGAGAGAGAGTAGACTTAGGTGGGTTGGCCATATGTGGCGTCGATCAAGTACAACACCTGTTAGGAGGTGCGAATTATTTCAAGTGGAGAAAAGATATGGGGACTTATGGCCTCACTGACGCTATGACCTTTAATAGAGCAGAATGGAGAACCAGGATTCCAGTTAATTGGGAAAAGGCTAAAATGATGATGATGATGATGAACTACAGCTCTTGTGTTGGTGCTTCCTAACTTTAATAAAGGTTTCAAGGTTGAGTGCAATGCATCACAAGTGGCGATGTCCATAGCCAAGAGGGTAAGGCCTTTTGCTAATTTTAGTAAGAAGTTGAACGGAGCAAAGCATTGCTTTTTTACTTATGATGTTGAGGTCCCTGCATCATACAAGCTTTGTGCTATTGGAGGCCACATTTGGTGTATCAAAAGCTTGTCTTATTCTTTGACCATGAGTCATTGGAATTCGTTAATAGCCAAAAGAAGTGAACAACAGGCATGCAAGATGGGCATCATACCTGTTGGAGTTCAGTCTTACACTTCGACATAAGGGCAGTAGTTTAACACAAAGCAGTTGCTGCAGATAGTAGAAAATATTTGCTACTTAATACCTTGTTCCCGAGGGTGTAAGGTTTGAATGGAACAAAGGATCATGGAACAAAGGATCATACCCTAAGGACAAATATCTTGCCTCTATTTATTCACATTGTTCTCAAGATGCTAATGGCGATGATGAATTATATTTGTTGGGATATAGCTTTTTGTTCAAGGGGAATCTGTTTGTATTTCTGAGAGCTCTCTACGAGAGACTTTCGCTCATAAGTTGTGTGTAGGACCCTCGGCAGGTCATTTCAGTGTAATTTTCCTTTGGTGGGCCTCCTTATCATCTCTGGCCCATGGATGGGCACGATTCAGGCTTCAACGCAAACTTCAACTTCTTAAACACTCTTTGAAGGCCTGGAGTCGTCAACTCCCAAGGAACTTTCAATTATAAAAGATCAGTTTGCTCCAATACATATAGGCTTGGGACCTCCTTAAGGAACGTAGGGCCTTGACGACCATAGAAAGTCAGCAAAGGTTTCAGCTGAAGCTAGACTATCAACTCATCCTCAAAAAGGAGGAAATTTCTTGCAACAAAGGTCCAACGTGGAGTGGCTCAAATCTTGGGACCTCAATACTTGTTTCTTCCACTGATTGCCAACTATAGGGAACATGGTAATACCATCAATCACATCAAGATTATTGACAACATCTTTGACCAACCAGCACAAGTAGAGGAAGCCATAATCAACTATTTCAAAAAACTGTTTTCGGCCCCTTCTGGTCCAAAATCGAAGATGGCAGACCTCTCCTTTCTCACAATACCCCTCAAAACAGGCATCTTGGTTGGAACGCCCCTTCTTCGAGGAGGAAATCCTTACAGCCATAAACGAGTTGGGCTAGGATCGCACTCTGGGCCTATACGGGTTCCCTATTGCCCTTTTAGGAACCTTCTTGAACTCCTTTGGAATGATATTCTTTCCATTTTCGAGGAATTTCATGCCAAGGGCATTGTTCATAGGGCAATGAAAGCCGCTGTTGTTGCCCTCATTCCCAAAGTAGAAGGTGCCGATGAAATCAAGGATTTTCACCCTAT